AGATAGCATTTTTGTCCATATATCTTGCTTGCAACTTGACGTGGCAATCTGCTACAAACCCCAACTATCTCTTATCTTTGCTAACTCCTATAGCACATATGTCCGATCAGATATCAGGACGACAGGATCAAACAAGGACTCCGACCAGCTCTCAACTCTGACGTGCCCAGACACTTGAGTCCCGACCTTCAGACCAGACCAGACCAAGTGTAGACCAGACAGCAGCAGCGACCACCAGAGAGGAGGGGAAGTAGACGTACTCGACACACACTCAACATGCAGCCAGGTAAAGGGAAAGAAGTTATTCTCTCATTCGCAGATGTCGATGAAGTCTCCTCGATCGCTCTGCGCTCCACGCTCCACGCTCCACGCACAGGTAAGATCTCCTCCTTAGCTCCTTCCTCTTCGACCAACTTCCTCCTCCTAATCCCAACCACCTCTCTTCTCACACTTCCACCATAGCCAGCATCTTCAAGCCAGCATATCCTCCTCGTCGGCCTTACTCATGCCAACACTTCAGTGAGCGCAACAAGTCACTGCTCTGATACCAAATTGCAAGGAACCCGACTGTTCACAACTTGCTTGAGTGTATCTCATTGCATGCATAGAAGTCATCACACAGATAGAAAAACTTCACACGAAGCCAAATCGAGATGAGATGAGAACCAAATAGCACAACTCATATTATGTAGCGGACCTCTGGTTGGCCTGTGAGACCAACCCCTTGGCCTGTTCTCACAGGCCTGTGTTCTATTCGGGGCAGTCCGGTCCAGGCCGGTACCTCTGTCGGTACCCGCCAGTCCGGTCCAGTCCCGTCAGTCCGCTGGGGTATACCCCAACCATTGTCTGTTTTCGAGATCATTCTAAATTCGCACAGTTTGGAGTACGTGCGTCGGAGTTTGGCGTGGGAGCTGCGCTGTGCCATCTCGCTCCCCCTTTCTTTCTCCATCTCCATCTCTATCCCTGGCGGAGCACCACACCTGGTGGGTCCACCACACTGGTATCGAAGCGGGAACGTTCCCCGCTCCCCCCCCCCACCGCACAGCAGGGAAAACGGCAAAACCCAACAGCAGGTTTTTTCGCTGTTTTTCGGGTGTTTTCCAGCGAAAACGAGGGAAAAAGCAGGAAGGAGCCACGTGGCGGAAAAAGCAGGCGCCACCACGAGCGCGTGGCGGTGGTGCCTGCGCGCAAGCGCCAAGGCCAAGGCCGCCGCACGCGCTGCCCCGCCCCACCCGGATTATATTATCAAGATCCGGGATTCTGCTCCTGCTGGGGTTTGAACCCAGGCAGCTGCCGGGCTTGCGCGTGCATATACTGCTGCCATAACACACTCGCCACAGTGTGTATATGGTCTTATACAGTGGCACACTGCTATTGAAGAGTTGTGTGCCAGCTATTCACCAACCCCCCCCCCCTCTTTGGGTGGCGAGCAGGGCAGCAGCGCCCGGGCTGCTATTTGCCCCCCCCCCCCGTTGGCTGTCGTTGCCTGTGCACATGGCCATCTCTACTGCCATGAGGCAGCTTGTGGTGGAACTGAAGACCCCCCTGCTTAGGGGGCTGCTCTACAGTGGTGAGGGTCTGCTCACACAGCAGACCCTAGATCTGCAGATCTGCAGAACTGCTGCTAGGGGCTGATCAAGATCTCAGCCCCCTCTCTCCTCCAACTGGCTTGCTGGAGCGAAGGCCAAGACCCTCCTGGTCTTGGTATACCTTGTGCCCTTGGAGACACCAAGGGCCAGGTATCACTTCTTCCCTCTCCCTACTAACCCACTTTCTCTCCCTTTCTCTCTCTCCTCTTACTCATACCCCTCTCCCCACCCCACCTTTTCTCCCACCACCCACCATTTTTATTCCATTCTATTCATTTCTTTTCTTTTCTTTCTCCTTTTCTCTCTTTGCGTCTTGATCCCTCTCCACCTTTCCCATCCCTATCTCTCCCATTCCCTCACCCTCCTCTCCCCCAACAACCCCATCACTTCCTCCATCTCCCCCTTCACTCTTTTTCTCTCTCCCACCCATTTCTCTCTTCTCTCCTCCACCTTTTCATCCCCCTTCCCCCCAACTTCGAAATTTTCTGTTTTTTCCTTTTTTCTTTTTTTTATCTTCTCTTGATTTATATCTCCTCTCTTTTCCAAAAAAAATAAAAAATAAAAAAAAATTGAATTATCTTATTCCCCACCCTCTTTTCTGATTTTCTGATTTATTTCATTTTCTTTTCTTTATTCTGAAAATTCGATTTTCTTTGCGGCAACCTTACATCTAATTAGGTGTTAGTCTTTCTTGCTTTCAACACACGGGGTAAACGAAGTGCTGCCGAAATTTTCTGTTTTTTCTTTCACTTAGTCTTTTCGGCACACTTCGACCCCATGGGGGTAACGAAATGCTGCCGAAATTTTTGAAAAATCAGATACTTCATTTCTCTCCACCTCGTCATCCACTTATTGCAAGGAACCTGACTGTTCACAGCTTGCTCGAGTGCTTCAAACCGCATGCATACATGTCATCACACGTACAAAGTGGCCTCACACAAAACCAGATTGAGAGAAGATAAGAACCAAGTAGCGCAACTTATATTATCAATGTCACTTAACACAAAGAGTATTATGAGTTCCAGAGTTCAGCGCCAACAAGAGGTAAGTCTCCCACGTCATACAACAGCGTGGAACCTAGCTCAGCCAGCGTTCTCCTTCAGATCACAAGTGTGGCGCCAACAGGTAAGTGTCCACCATATCCAGACTCACTCCCTGTCTTCTCTCTCTTGCTCTCTTCTCTCTCAATAACTTTGTCTTGGTTCTCCTCCCTTCACTATGCATGCACACTCTCACCTACGAAGATCTACTCTGAATGTCACTCACTGATATCCCACTACTAACTAGCCCTACTACTACTAACTTAGGTTGGCGCAGCTATGGCTTCCCTGCAGCCAGTGCCCAACTCATTTTCTCCCTGGCGCAGCTTCTTCTTCAGCGCCCAACTCCCTGCACTATAGCGCACAAGTGCCTCAGCACTTCCATGCATCAATGCCAATGGGAATCTGCCTGTGGGGGAGGCTGCCTCGTTTCTTATAGTGTTGGCCTCCCCTGACGAGGTCTGAATTTTGCCTTTCCTGGTCCTTTCCCAGTCCCAGCCTCTGTGTATGTGTCCCAGATCCCTTTCCTTCAGGGGTTGCCGCTGCTGCGGCCTTCAGGCCTTGATTTCGGACTCCCAATCTGAATCTAGACTTTCTTTCTGACTTGAATTCGGACTGGAACTTAACTCTTTGACTTCTGCTGGACAGACACACCCAATGCACGAACAGACACTCTTCCTGCACGAACAGACACATTGACTGCACGTACAGACACATCCCTTGTTTGAATAGACATGACTTGCACCGCCCCTGGCGAACAGATGTGACCTCCAAATCTAAACATGGTAATTGTTCGTCCAGGGTCCAACCATGACCTTTGACATTGTCTTTACTTTAGCCAGGATGTGACCTTTGACCCAGAGAACATGTCTTTTGATCTGCTTTCACGAATTGGACTCTGGGTGAGGGACCCCCAATATGCTGCTTTCGTCGAACAGGGGCTGAATCGGGTAAAGGCCCTTTTATTATGTACTTATTTATTTATTTATTATTTATTTATTTATTTTATGAAATCTTTCATTTGCGGCACTTTGAAACTTAGTTTGCTTATCTTGGTGCAAGGAATATGAGTGTGAGCGATATACATAAAACCAAGTTGCGAAATCACACAACTGAGCAAGTAGTAGTATCCCAAGTAGAGAGTACAAATGCACCGCGAAAACCATCCATAAACAGCAATACAATGAAGTATTGAGCCAATGTCCAAGCCCGTAGGCCACAGTATCCAAAGCCGCTCTCTCTGTTTGGCGCACAGCGCCCAGCCTACTCTACCACACTATCCTACTCTACAGCTGGTTCACACAACAGGATCACTTCGGCTCACGAAGACCAATGTACATGACTGTCAACACCATCGGCTACCTCTCTTCATGTACCAGGTACGTATCTCGTCACCCTCAATCAGACCTTGATTATCCCACACAGCGCCTCACTCCCTGGAGACCATCCGATCATCTGCTGTACCCCCTGGCGCCCAGCAGCCCGACTATGGCTGCCTGCGCCCCGCTGCCCTGCAGCGCCCCTCTCACCACCTCGCGCTCCGTCAGCGCCCCTGGCATTAGCGCAGCATCAAGCAGAAGCGCAGCAGCACTTCCGCATTGCCAGCGCTGGCTAGTGTGCCTGGCCTCGACTGCCTCACTTCCTTATGGAAGTGTCAGCCTGCTTGATGCTGCGTGTGGCCTGGCTGGAAGCTTCCAATAGCTTCTGGTTGGGCCTCAGACCCTGTGTCCAGGCCCGAGACTTACAGTTGAGGGCCTGGGCCCTTTTCAGTTGGGCACGGCCTGAGTCTTTCGGACTTGGGTTGTTTGCGGCATCTGTGCAAGGTCCCCGGGCAGGTGCATTGGCACTACTGCTTTTGCAAAGGCCGAAGGCCTGCTTCTCAATGTATCAGCCCTGCTTTGTGTAAGTATGCCCAGGCTCAACTGTCAAGGCCTGGGCCAACTGTATGCCGCAGCATTTGTGAGGCTCACGCGTCTTCCCAACCAACTGGCGTGTTGCGAGAGCCTGAATACCCCCATATGGAAATGTCGAATTTTGCCTTTGACGAATATTCAGGCCCGCCTTCACTTAGGGCGGGCACTTGGCTTGTCGGGGGCCTTAGCCCAGAACAATGTCATGTCTCATAGGGCCACTTGAGGGCTTGTTCCTCACATTCCATCCCCCTTAGCTTCGAAAGTCCGCTGAGATGCTTCACGCTGATGCCTTCCCTTTTAACCTCTTCTCATAATCTGCCACGATTTGAGGAGCTGTCTTGACTAGTTCCTCTCTTGGGATCCATCGATCTTCCTTTGGATCTGTATGATGCCTGAAATGTACTTTGTATTCCCTTGCAGGTTTGGGAGGTCTTCCCCTACCAGGTGGCTTAGAGAACAGGCGTGTCTCTGTGATCCAGGATATCGTCGACGTCCACGTGGCCATCCATGGTTGGGGGCAGCATAGATCTCCGTGACGGGAACTGTGTTGTCTCAGCGAAAGGTGCAAGCTTGGAGGCATGAAAAACAGGGTAAGTGTGTAAGTGGCCAGGGATACGAATGACGTACGAGGGACCATCCATATCATTCCCCACAATGTCCAAGACTTCCCAGGGACCGAAATACTCAGGCATTAGTTTCCTAGAGATGCCAAACTCCTGTCCCAATTCACTAGCCTTGACCCAGACACGTTCCCCTACCTGAAATGTGGACTGTCGGCAATGCTTGTTCTCAGAAGCTATCATGGCTTCTTGAGATTTCTTGATATGTTCGACAGTTTGCTGCAACAGTTTCTCATACTGGACACCAAATTCAATGGTTCCAGGAGTTGCAGCAGTTCGGTTTTCAGGCAGGAGGAAGTCTAGAGCAGATCTAGGCTTCCACCCGAAATGCAGTTGATTAGGACTGACACCGGTGGTGATGTGTACAACATTATTGTACAGGTTGGCGATGAGAGGTAATTTCTCATCCCAGTCATCCTGGTTGGGCTTAATGTAATGCCTCAGCAGATGCTGCACCACTCGGTTCATCTGTTCAGCCTGCCCATTTGCTTCGAGATGATTCCCTGAAGTCATTTGAAGCTGGCTGCCCATCTGTTCAGCGGCCTTCTTCCACATCTCGCTTGTGAATCTGACATCTCTGCCACTAACGATCGTCTTTGGAAGTCCAAAGTCACGCACCCAGTTGTCCATGAACAAATTGATGACGTGCTCAGTCTTGGCAGTCTCTGGCATGGCAATTAGTCTAGCGTACTTAGTCAACCTGTCCACTATGACGAAAATGTGCCTCTTGCCATTCTTGCTGGTCACGAGAGTATCCATGAAGTCCATGGAGATACTCTGACCTGGGCCAGCAAGAATGGGTAAAGGTTTGAGTAACCCAAGCGGAGCTTGAGTTCGCGGCTTGTCCCGCTGACAGACCTGACAGGTCTCCACGCACTTCTTCACATCGTCAAGCATGTTAGGCCACCAGAATCGTTGTACTAGATTAGCACTAGTCTTCTTATAACCGAAATGTCTTGTTGCATCGTGGCACTCACCTAAAAACAAACTACGCAAAGTTTCCCTAGATGGAACAACTAACCTCTTGAACCCTGCCTTCTCAAGAAAGAACAACCCATCCACCATCACAAACTCAGCAGTGGTGGCCTTGTCTTTAGCGTGTAGTTTGTTGATGATGTCCATCGTGATGGGATCTTCCTTGTAGGCTTCATCCAACGATCGAGTCACGTCCTCAGACAAACCAAACTCATAAATCAGCGCACCTAGGTAATCTGCCCTCCTAGACAACGCTTTTGCAACCTTGTTGTACTCTCCCTTCAAATAGTCTAGTTTGAAATCATATTGATCTATGACTTCAATCCAGCGTTTGAGTGCATCAGAGAGAACTGGTTGGGTCTTGATCCACTTGAGTGTCTGATGGTCAGTTCTCAAGTAGAAGAACCTTCCTAACAGGTAGTGCCTCCAGTGGATAAGTGCCTTGTAAAGAGCGTAGAGTTCCCTCTCGTAGGTGGACTTTGCCAACTTCTTTGAAGGCATTTTTTTGCTCACGTACTCGATCGGTCTCAACTTCTTCCCTTCTTGCTGAGCCAGCACTGCGCCAATCCCATATTGGCTTGCGTCAGTGGTTGCAACGAATGGCCTTTGCGGGTCGGGTACCATGAGAACTTCATGCGGCGTGAGAGCATGCTTCAAACGCTTGAAAGCTGCCTCACACTCGTCGGTCCAGTCCCATGGTGTGTCGAGTCGAGTTAGATCAGTCAAGGGAGATGTGATCGTACTATAATTCTTTACGAAATTGTGGTAATAACCACACATTCCCAAGAATGATCTGGCCTCGGTTACTGACTGGGGTTGTGGCCAGTCACGTATGCTAGCCACCTTAGCATCTTCGAGCCTAATCCCATCCGCGGATACTTCATGACCCAAGTACAAGATTCGAGTGCGACCAAACTCGCATTTCTCTGAGTTTATCTTATACTTGTGTTGCCGAAGGAGTGAAAGTACTGTGTCTACATGCTGAGCCTCGACATATCTACTGAAGATAAGTATGTCGTCAAGGTACACGACAACAAACTTATCCAAGTAGTCATGGAAGATCCTATTCATGGCGTGCTGGAATGTACCCGGCGCATTGCAAAGGCCAAATGGCATCACCTCAAACTCGCACAGACCGTACCTGGTCTGAAATGCGGTTTTGTGCTGGTCCTCTGGTCTAATAGCAATCTGATGGTAGCCGGATTTAAAAGCTATCTTTGTGTAGTACTTACATCCCTGCACCCTATCCAATAGGTCGTCGATGCGTCGTAGAGGCTCTGCGTTCTTAACAGAGATGGCATTGAGGCCTCTATAATCAATGCACATCCTTAGTGTTCCCCCTTTCTTTTGAACAAACAATACTGGTGAGCCAAAGGGGGAAGTGCTAGGTCGGATCCAACCCTTCTCTGTGAGCTCTTTCAGTTGCCGTAGAAGTCCGTCCAACTCGGCTGGAGCCATCCTATAGAATCTACCCTTTGGTGTTTTACTACCTGGGATAATCTCTATGGCATGGACAATCTCCCTGTCTACGACTCCTGTAGGCTCCTCAAACAGATCTGGGTACTTAGCGACGATGGTCTCTATCTCTGGGGGTGTTTTAACGGGCTCCCCTTTTGCAGAGACATAGACTAAGTACATTCCTTCCTCTTGGTTCTGTTTATAATAATTATAAAAGGCAGATGCGCATAAGCAACCATAGGAGTCTACTAACCTACTGGCTTTGTACTTGGCCAGTCTCACGATTCTCCCACTAGGCAACTCGTGCTTCAACACCTTCTTGTCCCAACTGGGGCTTGGCAACCTCGAGGTAGTACATGCCCAATAACATGCCAAAGGGCAACTCGTCGCTCACTAGGAAATATATCTTATGGTTTATCTCTCCTCCTGGGTAGGAGAAGGTGCAAACTACATCTTTCACGTAGTCCTCCACCATCATGCGCTCTTTGTTGGCCAAAGTAGATGCTACCGGTCTACTAAGGCGCTGCACCCGACCCTTTAGGCACAGTCTGTCAACGCAGTCATGACTTATGAAGTTTCGTGTGGAGCCAATGTCTACGAAGGCGCCCCACTTGCGACCGCCCACATCAACTTCCACAACGAAGTGCTCCCCTCTAATACCTCTTCTCAGTGCCACCCAGGACTCACGAGGGTCCCTTGCCGACCACTCACCTTGAATGTCCTCTAAGGCCTCAGACACATCCAACGTACAGAGTATAGTTGGGTCCGGATACGTCTGCGGGGTGACTCAGGAGTCAGTAGCTTTGGCCATCTCTTGAAACGGGGAGGGTACATCACCCGCTTCAACGAGAGTAGAAGCAGCTATAACTTCTACTGGCCCTAAGTGTTTCCCGAGCTGGAGCTCGTAGAGGCCCCATATTGAGAAGAAGAGAACCCACCCTTAGGAGGGATCTTCTGCGAGACCTTCGGGTTCTTGCATTTGAACTGTGTGTGACCATACTCACCGCAGTTAATACAAGCACCACGAGACCAACGGTCCCGCCACACTTCTTGATCCAGACCTGCTCTAACCCAAACAACTATTTTGTTTGGGTTAGCGGCCTGCCCCTGACTCCTTTGTTGACCGCCCTTGCCGCGGCCAGCGGACTTAGTCTTGACTACGGTGGCGAGGTTGCTACCCTCAACACTCTCCTTGCCGTCAAACTCTGAACCCTCCACAAGTTCAGAAACATCATCGATCTCAGTTTGATTCCCATCGGAATCAACCATCATCAATAGACTACCCTTCTTTTTCCACTCTTGTGGAGTCTTCTTCTTTCTCCCATCCGTAGAAGGGGTTTGAGCTCCACCCAGCGTAACCTCTAAGTCTAGGGCCTTCTTGCTGAATGACTCAAATGTGTGATACTCTCTGCGAGCCTCGCTGGCTAATAGATTCATAATGTCTGTGGGAAGACATCTCAGAAACATGGTCAGCAAGACCTGTGGATTGTACTCCACTCCCGGGACGACGATCAGGCGTTCTACGACTGTGGTGAGTTCTCGCACAGACTTGTACTTTCTAGTATCAAGTTTCAAGAGCCCATCAGTGGCAATTTGTGCCTGCTGAGGGTTGTGCCAACGAGCCTCCACTAATGTGTGGGTCTGCGCCCAATCATGCATGTTCCTGTCGAAGCCCTTTGAAGCAACCAATCCGTTTAACCAACGGGCTGCTGAACCCTCTAAGTAGGATGCAGCAGTAATCACTTCCTCTTCTACCAATGTCCGTTTTGCCCTCACCCACACTGGCACCGTTCTCAACCATGTGTCGAGAGCCTCATCCTTCTTATCTCCTGAGAAGGTTGCAGATGGGTTCAGTGGGGTCTTGGGATACCAAGGATATTGCTGTGCCGCTTGCGAGACAGGTGGCGACTGTGGTGTAGCAACAGTCGCTGGACCAGAAAATGAAGAAGCAACAGTCTGAGATAGAGCTACTGTTGATGATACACTTGGTGGTGGTCCTGATTGAGCTGCATGGAGGCCTGTCATCGCTGAGAGTGGCGGCGATGGTAAAGCTGCTGGCCGGATCCCTAGCTTATGCAGCGCTTGCAGAATCTGGTCTAGAGTATCCTGCATTGCGTCCATTTTACTATCTATGTACGCATGCATGGATAGGACACTTGCCTTTAGGATCTTTCCTGTAGTGTTAAGTGCGGAGTCCTCTAATGCCTCTAGTGCAGCCATGCCTGCCTCCCTGCCCTCTAATCTGACTCTTCTTTCTCTGATCTCTTTCTCTCTTTTAGTACCCTGTCTAAGTTCCTCCTCTAACCTTAAGCGGATCCTCTACTTGCTGGAGCTCCATCAACTCCTGGGTGCGTGGAGGCGGCGAGCTGAACTGCGAGTCCGCCATTTGACTAGTGCCAACCCCTGACGTACTGGAGATTGACTGTGAACTGGTCGGCATGCCTAGCCCTTGACCAGTTGAGTTCGCAGCAGTTGCTGTGGAAGTAGCATTACTCATTGCTACCGCTCTAGCAGCTTCTGCTTCTCTTGCAGCCTCAAGATTACGGGCCCTAGCTTCAGCCCTTAATCTTCTCTCTTCTCCTGGTTGTAGGGTCTGGAACACTCTAGGAATTCTAAGGGATGATAGCCTTGTTAACCTCCTATCGTCATCTGCACCCTCACCACCCTCTGATCCACTCATAGGATAGGCAAACACTGTCTGCACTAATGTCCTCGCTGGAACCTACCGCAGCATGCGTCTGACCGGATCTAAAAATAAACAAATAAATAAATGTCCGGCGAGTTACCTAGCCTACTAGTCAAGCGGCATCAACAGCATCTACACGAACTGTACACATTGTCTAACTCTTATTCTGATTAGTCTACATAGAAGATTCGAGAAGAACTGACAGTCCTACTCTAGTCTGTCTGTTAGGTGTCGGCAGTCGGTCAACCAACTAATCAAAAATAAAACTTAGACTAGTGTGAGCAGATGTATGCACAATGGACATGTCAGTGATGTATAGTTGAGTTCACAATTGGAATCCCCTTCTCCTGTATCCAACGTACCTGTGAGCATCATCAAGCTGCGGTGTCTAAGGTGTGCAACCACGGCCCACCCCTGTGCCCAAGAAGTATGCTTATGACCAGCCTGCCCCTTTGTTTACCTTCGCGTGCAACGAGCCTTACGTCTGACTGATCTGGCTGATCAGGAGGGATTTAAGGAGATCCCCCATCTCCTCAGGAATTCTTTAACGTCGCGATCAGGACGACGATCACAGCCAGTGGACAAATCAGACCCCAACCAGAAATGTTTATAGACGGTCTGAGAGTGTCTCAATAGGACTGGTCAGTCCGCACACCCCTTCTATCAGTGCAGCAACGAGCCTCAATGGACAAATGGCCTGCGTGTTCTAATATTCATGGGTTGGCATGGTGACTATGACCCGTGCTTCGACCAGGGCCCTTCAGAGGCACCGCCCTCTCCTGCCAGATGCGCCACCGGGAAGAATGTCGTCTCTCAAGATAGAGCGCCCACGACTCCTTACCAAAGAGAGGACACTCAAGTTGGACTCACTTCCTCATGGTAAGAAGAGATTGAGAGGGTAGATAAGGAATGGGAACAACGTACCTGGAGATAGCTGCCCCCAACCACAGATTTCTCACCAATTGGGCTGATGTGCATTTCAATGACCGGTCAATAGCCTCGGTACCACCCACAACGCAATGCAGTGCCACCTCAGCCAAAATGCCACGTCAGCATACTCTCATCATCATGCATACACCCGCTGTCGCCACAGCTCCCACGCTGTCGCCACGACCTTCCAGCGGCCGGCCTCTCTACCTAGGCCCCGCGATTAAATCAGCGCAAAGTATCCTCACTGCACATGAAGCATCGTCAGCGCACCAAGTCACAATGTCGCCGGTGCCAGGTAAGCGGCGATACCAAATTGCAAGGAATATGAGTGTGAGCAAGTAGTAGTATCCCAAGTAGAGAGTACAAATGCACCGCGAAAACCATCCATAAACAGCAATACAATGAAGTATTGAGCCAATGTCCAAG